GTGAGCACTGTAACATCCTCACCTCATCTTGTGGACTGAATCTTGTTTGTTGGAGCATTTGAGCCATTAAAGATAGAAGTTGAAGCTTTGAAGAGGATGATTCCTTGAAGATTGCTGAAGTCTGAAGACTTTGTGAGGATCAAGTTGATGCTTGAAGATCCCTGAAGATGGTGAAGCCTGAAGGTGGAGCTGATCAAAGGAGCTGAAGCTCAAGGGAGAAGATGAGTTGATACTCATGTTGTAGGGTTGATACCTGGAAAGCAAGTGATCTCTGAAGTCTGAAGACTGAGTTGATGCTGGAGGAGCTGAGGCTTTCTTCTGTTTTCTTTTCTGTATTGTTTGTTTTGTCTGATTTGTCTGTTGCATTAGACTAAGGTCATCTAGAATAAGCTCAGTCTAGGAGCATGATTGCATTAGAGGTTGAGTTGCTCCCTCTGCTTGTATTGTTATTGTGTGGCTTTGCTTGCGGGTATTCGGTAGAGCCCAGCTCCCTTGCCCATGTGTTTATTTTGCTTGATAGCATGATTTTACTTCTTTTATCTGTATGATTGCAGTTTGCTGTTTAGTGCTTGATAGCATGTTGTTTATCTTTCAGTATGATTACTGTTATTTAATGACTGGCTTGAGGTCGAGACGAGCTTGTGGAGGCTGAAGCCCCACACACATTTCCTCCCTCATTTGCATTGCATGCATTTTACTGTTAAGCTGATGCTTTTGTCTGTTTTGGTGTATCATTGACATGATCCCTTAGGACTCTCATTTCCTCTGATGAGGATTTGATGATAGAACTTTAGGTTGAAACCTATGCATGACAACATCTAGGAGTTCCCTGTTCAAACCTCAACCATAGGATGAATCCATGGCATGATAACAATAGGACTTGATAGTCTCCCTCCTAGTTGGGCCTGTTCTCTTCTCATCTCAAAATAGTTTAAGATACAGTAATCATGAATGATTTCTTTCGTACGTTACGAGCCTTAAGCTATCTGAGAAAGGATTGTGGGAGAGCTTCTTTTCCATAGTCTGCATGTCTAGTATGGTACCCTTTGGGTGACATGCGACGCATTCACTCTCAGGTCATAGTCTCTAGTGCGGTTGATATCGCAAACATAATAAAAAACACTTCTTTCAGGAAATAAATCGTAGTTTCCCGAATTACGTTTGCTCTGATCTCTCATACCTGTTGAGAGTACGTAGGCACAAGATGGCGATGTCTTGGCGAGCAACCTCCCCCACCTTCACCCGTAGTTAGCCGAACTACGTTGACTCTGATTTCTCATTCTCTGATGAGAATACGTAGGCATAAAGCGCGACGCTTTGCCGAGTCATTTTTCTTTTCTTTTTCAGCCAGCCTTGATAGGTAGATAGATTATAACCAACCCGTCCAAGTAAACAAACCAGCGAGGATCCCGTCGAGTACGACGGACGTGAGGGGTGCTAATACCTTCCCCTTGCGTAACCGACTCCCGAACCCAGACAATGGTTGCGATGACCTTGTCTTACCCTTTTTCGTCAGGTTTTTCCGATCGTTTCCTTTCCCGCTCTGAGGGATAAATAACGAAAGGTGGCGACTCTTCTGTCATGCCGATACCTTATTTTCGCGCAAGCGACAAGTGGAAACCTGATTTCAGTATGAACAAGGATATGCTTAGAACAGTTCCGTTGTGGGTGAAATTACCTCAGCTACCTCTACATCTATGGGGCGCGCGAAGCCTGAGTAAAATAGGCAGTGCACTAGGAACACCGCTGGTTACAGATGAATGCACGACAAACAAGCTCAGGGTTTCATATGCTCGTATCCTGGTGGAAATTGACATTACACAAGAGCTAAAGACACACATTATCATAAGAGACGAAAAAGGTGCACGACTGCAACAACCGATAGAATATGAGTGGAAACCTCTTTACTGCCAACGTTGCCATAAGGTTGGTCATAACTGTGATAAGCCTTCTAAGCCTACCAAAGAATGGAAGGAGAAGGTGAAAGAGCAGACACATAAGGAAAGGGTGCAAGCCAAGGCCAGTTCAAGTGGAACAATAGCAGCAGGGGATACTAGCAATGATACCCAACATAATGATGAGGGGTGGACGCCGATCAGTAGCAACAGCAAAAGGAAAATCACAGGTAGTACACATGAGGATGAAACTGTCCAATGCCAAAATGGGTTTGGGCTGTTGGGGATTGTGAATGACCCTGGAGGCAGCCAAAACACTAATCCATGTTAGTATCCTGGAATGTGAGGGCCCTGAATAAATTGGTTAAGACTAAAGAGGTTAGCTCCCGCCTCCGTTCTCTTAACCCAATGATTTGTATTTTGCTTGAGACTCGCGTGAAGCAAGATAAGGCTGATACTATTAGGTGCAAGATGAAGCTTAAAGGCTCGTTTATGGATAATTATGCTGATCATGCTAATGGTAGAATTTGGATATGGTGGAACAATGCTAAGATTGAAATCAGGAAAGTCGCTAGCACTGGGCAACTACTTCATTGTGGTATCTATGATATGCAGGGTATGTTTCAATTCTGGCTTACAGCAGTGTATGGCGCAAACAGAATGGACTGTCGTAAGAATTTGTGGAGAGATATTGAACACATTAACCAAAACCAACAGGGCCCATGGTTTCTTATTGGAGATTTTAACAATGTGGTTCAGACTATTGACAGAAGAGGAGGATCCATGGTGCAGATGAAAGAGTATAAAGATTTAACTGACATGATGAACCATTGTAACCTTAGTGAAATGGATACGATTGGGGATTATTACACATGGTCCAATCGGCAAGGTGACAACATCATTCACTCTAGGATTGACCACGGGATGGCTAACACTGAGTGGTTTCAAAAGTACATCAGCATGTGCCTAAAATTCCTTACCCCTGGCATCTCTGATCATGCGCTTTTGTTGCTGTCTGGCCTTGATAATACTGTGAATAGAACACCTCAGTTCAAGTTCCTTAACTGTTCTACTGAGGTTGAGGGTTTTCAAGAAAACATTGCTAATAGTTGGAGTGTCCCTGACCAGGGTAATCCCATGTATGTTATGTGGAGGAAACTGCTTAGATGCCAAAATGTTGTACAGAAGATTAGTAAACCTTTGTTGGGTGCCACTGCTGCCCTCAAGAATGCAAGACAGAAGTTACAGGAGGCCCAACTGAAGCTCAGGGAGGACCTTGATAATCCTGAAACTATCCACCTTGTTAAAACCAGATCAAATGAGGTTTGTTACTGGAGTGAAATTGAGGAGCAGGTGCTGAGGCAGAGAGCTAAAATCAGCTAGCTCAGATTGGGTGACGACAACAACAGGTTTTTTCATGCCTAGGTAAAAGCTAGACAAAACAACAGTGCTATTACTGGGATGTGTTCTGTGACAGGTGAAATCCTTAGAGAGGCTGAAGACATTGAGAATGAGGTGTTGTCGTTCTATGGCAACCTCATGGGTAGTCCTAATAATAACTTGGAAGGTATAAACTTGACTGCTATGAGAGCTGGTCCTCACATTACTAGTGTTCAGAAAGATGTGCTGGTTTGTCCCCCCACTGAAGCAGAAATTTATAGTGCCCTACATGACATTGGTGACCTGAAAGCCCCTGGTGTGGATGGTTTTGGGGAGAAATTTTTCAAAGCTTCATGGAGCATCATTAAAAAAGATACCATTGCTGCAGTTATGGATTTTTTCGATAACTTCAACATGTACCCTGCTGTTAATTGTACTCTTGTGTCCTTGATTCCTAAAGGTAACGGTGGTAATTGTGTGAAGGACTTTAGACCGATATCCTGTTGTACTACGCTCTACAAAATCATATCAAAAATCTTGGCCGGAAGATTAAGCAAGGTTCTTACTAGTATTATCAGTCAGAGCCAGGCTGCCTTCATCCCTGGACAGAACATCCATGATCATATTTTACTAGCGTACGAACTAATCCAAGGCTACAGCAGAAAAGGCGGTACTCCGAGATGTATGTTGCAGCTGGATATCCAGAAAGCCTATGATACCCTGGACTGGTATGCTCTAGAGTGTATTCTCAAGGAATTTGGCTTCCCTCACAAATTCACCAATTGGATTATGCTAGCGGTTACTACGGTATCTTACAAGTTCAATGTTGCTGGCAGAATTACTAGAATCATGAAGGCTAAAAGGGGTCTTAGACAAGGTGACCCTATTTCTCCCCTTCTTTTTGTTCTAACTATGGAATACTTTCACAGGCTCCTACACCAGTTAAGCAAAGTTCCTGATTACAACTTTCATGCGAAATGCGAAAATTTGCAAATCATTGATATTAGTTTTGCGGATGATGTTCTCCTCTTTACCCGCGGGGATAGCAAGTCTGTACAGTTACTTATGAATCACCTGCAGACGTTCTCCCAGTCCACTGGCTTAGTAGTTAACCCTGCGAAGTGTAGGGTGTACTTCGGGGGTGTGGAAAATGAGACCAAAAACGACATCTTGGCTTCCACCTCGTTTAAAGAAGGTGATTTACCGTTTCAGTACCTGGGAGTTCCTCTCACGTGTAAAAGGCTTTCAACGCATCACTATATGAGTTTGGTAGACAAAATTGTAAGCCGAATTCGTCACTGGAGCTCTAAATTACTGAGTTATACAGGAAGACTTCAACTGATTAATAGCACCATTACTGCTATTGCAGCATACTGGATGAGTTGCCTCCCTTTCCCCAAGCAGGTGATCAAAACCATTAAGTCTATTTGCAGGATCTTCCTGTGGACAAGTAGCGATGTGAAATCCGGAAAATCCCCAATTACATGGAAGAGTGTCTGTAAACCTCGGCGGAAGGGCGGTCTGGATGTGTTGGACTTATCAGATTGGAACACGGCTTGTTTAACAAAACTATTGTGGAACCTGTGCAACAAGAAGGATACTCTTTGGGTGAAATGGATCAACACATTTTATTTCAAAACTACAGATATTATGTAGGTCCAGGAAAAACAGGGTATGTCGCGGATTCTAAAAGCTGTTCTTAGACACAGAGTCATCGTTATTGGCATGGAAGATTGGTATGAAATGAAGGAGAAATACTCTGTGGGGAGAGTGTACCAGTTCCTAAAGAAGGATGACCCCGATGTTGGATGGAAACACATGTTGTCCAACACTATTGCTAGACCGAGAGCTCTTTTTACTATGTGGATGGCTTGCCACCATAGACTTGCGACAAGGGGACGACTCAAACGACTTGGCCTTACGACCGACGACAAGTGTAATTTCTGCGACAAGGAGGAAACAGTTGACCACCTTTTATTTGAGTGTCCACTGTTTAGAACCTGTTGGCAACAAATCTTGGTGTGGCTGGGGTTTCAACATTTCCCGTGTGAATGGCGTGAGGAACTTGAGTGGTTAATCACACATTGCAAAGGTAAAGGTTGGAGGAAGTGCATTCTGCGTAGTGCTGTAGCGGAAACCATCCATGAAGTTTGGAGATATCGTAACAATGTTGTCTTTGGAAATACGACGAATGTTTTGGATATTAGAGATTTAGTCATTTCTACCCTTGCGAATAGAGGGTGGGTGAATACTAGAATGAGGCATCATATAGCTCAATTACTTATAGAGTAGTTGTGGTTTTTTGGTTGTTTTGTGATTGGGGTCCTCTATACCCTTGTATATTCTCTTTTTATTTTATATAAAGCATTATAGCATTATTCAAAAAAAAAATAATAAGAAGAAGAAGAACTTAAACAAAAACTCAAAGAGAATTGGTCCAAAATAATAGAACAATAGTAACAACTATATAAATTGTTTCCATGGCATCATAACTTCATATAGATAGGAGACACTAACTCGAATTTGTTTCCATCTGAAAATTATAAACATTATCCACAAGATCCAATAATTAAAAAAAACGAGAACACATTATTATTTTCTTTTTAGTATTTTTTACAAATATTGTTTAAATTATTAAAAAAAAGTTAAAATGAAACATATGTATATTAATGAAACAAGTCACCAAATAAAAGTTGGCTTTTCTTAATTTAAATAAAAGAAAACAAAATCATTTATAAATATATAGCAACAGTATTAACATGATAGTAAAGACAAAGCTTTCAAATTAACAATACTAAAGAAAATCATTCACTCTAACAATAAAATGCGGACCCTACTCCACAGTTTTTTCATTATTTTCACTTCCAACATACACACACTTCACACGCATGAAACACTAACCTCTCGTCATTCTCAAACACATTCTTCTCAGCAAACTTAAACAACAACACAACAACCATATAAACAATACTACAACACGCTAGTATAACAACTAACACAATGTACACAACACACAACAAAGCATAAGATATAGCGACGCACATGTAAATGGTACACATCACACACATGCAAAACTACACCTAAGCACAACTTAATGACATAAGCTACAACAATATGACAACACGATTCATCTTCTTCATATGAGAATATAGCAATGAACACAAGACAAGTTTTAAAGCTACAAAATGGAACTGATACCTCGTGTTTGCGTTTTCGACAATCTTTGGAGCATGATTCACGGTGGAAAATGGAGACGACGTGGTGTAGTCATTATGTGAAGGAAAGAGCTGTCGTGGTTTCTTTCATGAGGTGTTTGTGTGAAGTAAAGCAAGATGAAGAGGATGTTGATATTTATGTGTATTGAGTTTTTCTGGAGTGCATCGCTGTTGTGAATGTATTGTCAGTTTGTGGTGGTGATGACGGGAAATTGACAGATGATGGTAAGTAATAAGGGTTGAAGAGTATAGTTAAGGTGATGGTGAAAAGTGACATGAGGGAGTTGTTTTTTTTGGATGTAATTGGAGGTTTTACGGAGAGGTTTATTATGGTGGTGGATGTTTTGGTGTGTGAGTGGTGGTGTTAGCAGGGAGAATAGGAGTGGAAGAAGACTCAGTTTATAGAAAAAAGAAGAGTGCTCTTGTTTTTTTTTTATTTTCTTGTCCTATTCAAATGGTGATCTTTTGTTATTTTATTTTAATCCCAGAGAGATAGAGAGAGATAGAGAGTAGTGTGAGTTTATATGTATAAGGGGAATAAAAAAATGTTATTGTTTTTTTTGGTTTTTTGTTATCTTCCTAAAAACACGGGTAGGGAGAGAAAATATAGTGTGAAAGAATAAGGTGGAAGGTGGTGCGAGTGAGGTTGAAACAGGATGAAAAATAAGATGAATGGTTTACTGTATTGGGGTGTTCCTTTTTTAATAAATCTAATTAGCGGTTTATTTGAAACCATGTGGGATCTGCAGCAGGAGAGAGTGAGGTATGTAGTTTATGGTATTTGTATGAGTAAGTGATGATTATTGGTTATTTTTACTTTATTCTTTCTAGCAATATGTAGTATGTGTGTTTTCATGGAATAAATATGGTGAAGTAATGGCAAGTGAAGTGTGATGCGCTGGAAAAATTCAGAGGAAAAGTGATATGAAGTAGCAGAGAAAAAAAGGTGAACCGTTGTCATACCCCAAAATTTACCCTTATATTCCTTGATCTTTTGAACATCATCTTAGGTCAATCATCCATGCATAGCTAACCAATTTATTAGACTTTGTTTGTTTGGTTTCATTTGTGAAATTAGGGTTGCTGCAAAATATTTAAAGGTCACGGAGGCCATGTGTGTGCTCATTGGGATTATAGTCCTTTGCAAGTTGTGTTGAATTCCTGCGGATATAAAGGAAGGATATGCCCTCATTCTTATGGTCCCTTAGTAAATACAAGGTCATTTTTCCTCAAGATTTCTCAAAGGTTTCCTTAAGGAGGATTAGGGTTTTCTGTCTATTAGTTTTGAGCATAGTCATTTGAGAACTCGGTGTAATTTTGTGGTGTGTTACATTACAAGTGGTATCCTCACTTTCAAAGGATTTCTTAGGGCATAGTTTGGTCTTATTCGTGAAGTTGGATCATTAGTCGTCAAGTGGGAGAGTTTGAACTTTTGGTAGCTTGTGAACCATACGCTTTGAAATGGTAAAATTTAGATGAAAAATTTGGAATCAAGTTTAGGCAAGGAGTTTTCAAGTTGAAGTTCAAGATTCATATTCTTTACAAAGTTCAAGCATGTGTAAATGTCCAAGATTTAACACCAAGTCATTATGGCGTTCAAGTATTTTAATTCAAGAAAATTCAAAATTTAAAAGTTTAAGTTGATTCATTTCAAATTCAAGATTCCATGTTTATTTTAAGTTCCATGTCAAAGTCACAAATTCATGTGATTAAGACCCAATAAAATCAAGTTTTAGCAAGGTCAAGTGTGCAAAATAGTTCCAAGACTCATGGTTCAAGTTGTGATTACAAATTCAAGTCCAAGTTTCATATTACAATTAAAGCATTCAAATTTCATCAAATTGTATCCTAAGGTTTCAAGGTGTATGTTCTTCACAAAATTCCAAGATTTCAAACTTAAATTCAAACCATCATTCCAAAATTCAAGATGTTTCTTTGCAAGGATCACATGTTTATTACAAACAATTTAAATTTACAACATTTTTCCATATTCAAGTTGCAAGGCTCAATTGAATTCACAAATCAAGTCTACATGTGTTTATTACAAGAAAGACAAAAAAACGGTCATGATACAAACAACAGAGGTTTATTCTTGGCATGATTTTTTTCTCCGCATCATTTAATTCGGTGTCGACAAGGGAAGGCATGGTGAGTTAAACAACATAGCCACATGTAAGTGCTCTTGATTGGCTGCATTTTGTGGCAAAACATTAGAGTTTACATGTATGTCATACTGAATGTTAAGACATACATAATGATGTGTGTGCATGGTAAGTTAACTATAAGTTAAGCTGAATGTCATACAAAATCAGGAGCTCAAGCTGAAAGACAGGAGACATTTGAGAAGCCCTAAAGCGAAACAGATGCTCCTAAATTAAATGGCAAGCGTGCAGATGATTGAAGAGTGTTGCACCCCAAAATTTGACCAACATTTATTTACCTAGCTTGTGTTCATTAGCATTATCACCTGCATCTCATTGATATGTGTGCAGTAGATCAAGAGGTATGACTACCCATCAAGAGTTATATGAGACTTTGAAGCTAGCCAAGGAGGTTACTCAAGTGTTCAAAGGTTGATATCATTGTCAGAGAAGTTAAGAGATCCTCAGAGAGATTGGTTGAAACCAAGATTGTGTGCCTCATAACTTGAGAGTTGTGGGGGCTCCTCAGATGATTCTTAGGCTATGAGGAGGGACTTGAAGCTTTGAGAGAGCTTATGAGATGTCTTGAAAGCCATCATGAGGCCTAGAGAGGTCATTGTACAGGATTCAGAAGACTTAGCCATGAGTGGTGTAATTAGGGTTTGACTGGGTCAACCCTAGGTCAACTGATGATTTGGAGAAGGTTGAGACCTAATCCAAGAGCCATGTGATCATGTATTGATGCATTGAGATGCTATAAGGATGATTCCTAGATCTAATCATCATGATTGAGGAGTTTGAGAAGTTTCAAGCTAGGGCTTCTAAGGCATGACAGTGTAAAATCCCCTAGTTTGATCCCTATCTCCAAGGCAGTTTAGCTCAAGATGTGGTTGTCATCTCATCTTTCCTACAACATGAATGTTGTAGAGCTTATTCTTAGCTTTAATTTGAGTACTAGAATTCCTTGATAGGATTTGTAGAGCTCAAGTTATGACTTTGACAAGTTACAGGTCATCTGAGGTATGTGAATCTGGGGCTTGAAAGTCACCCAACTTGCATCCAACTTTTGCTCAAGTAGGATGATTCCTATGAACTTTTGGTCAACATGAATGTTGTTCCTCATCTTCTTAGCTTTCTAGAGAGTACTAGAAGTCCTTGATAGGATTTGTAGAACTCAAGTTATGGCTTTGACAAGTCAAGGGCATTTTGGTCATTTGGATATTATAGGTCATTTCAAGCATAAGGCCATATCTCCTATTTCCAAGCTTCAAATGGAAAAATCTTCAACATCAAACTTGCTTAAAATGATGTTTTAAGGCTATTAGGGAGATCATGTGATGTTGAAAAGGCTTGTAGCAAAAAGTGATAAAAATGACCTAAAATGGAGGCATAAGTTAAATAAGTTGAAGTTGGAAATTGGAAATTCCAAGTTACACATCCAAACCATGGCATATAATAGGTCATTTTGACTCTAAAAGACATTCTAAAAACAATGGTTCAGCCACAATTTTGAATTGAGGCCTAGATCATGGGGCTGCTTTGGAAATTTGTTGCTTGCATCTTAAGGCACAAATGCAAAACATAAGGAAACTCAATGTACAAGCTTGCTAAGGGTTTTAACACACCATATATCTCATTTAGGGAGAATTTCAGGTCAGTTACAAGGGCTGCAATGGCTATGGCATGAGATGATGCACATGAGATGAGATGAATCATAAACTCATGACATGAGAATTCCAATTTCTCATTGGATGATTCCAGATGGTTCTAGATGAGTCTAAACCATTCTATATAATGTGTAGAACTTGCTCAGATGCAAGGTTGGTGAGAGAATTGAGAGAAGAGAGAGATAGCCATTTCACTTGCTTCCATTGCAAGTTGAAATCAAATTCCACATTCTGATCCATTTCCATTCCTTTTTTCAATCTAAACACAC